ACGTTGCACTAATATGTCTTTAATATGTGTAACATTTCGCAAGATCATCCAATCAGATTAGATGCCCGCTATGCTGTATATATACTGGTTTTTTAACATTAAGTTCTATTCCGAACTTAAAAATTTATCTGCACAGTGGTTACACATCAAATTTAGAATCCCGATTTGGGTGTCTACCATTTATATATATATCAATGTTCTAAAATCTAATCCTTACAATTTTCAGCCATGGCGCTAATTCACACGAACATAGATGAATTACCCTTGGTAAGAATTTCAATAATGTTTATTCAGCAAATTAAGTATCTTTGAAATTCAAGCCAAATTAACATTATTTTAGATCGTCCAAGAACTTCGAAAATCGTTCCATTCTAACTTGACGAAACCTTTACGTTATAGAAAAGAACAGTTAGAAAATTTGCATCGTATGCTCGATGAGAATGAGCAAGCATTTAGTGATGCTTTGTACAAAGACCTTCATAAGCATAAATACGAGTCTCTGCTCGGCGAACTAGCTTGGGTTAAGCAAGAAGCTTTAGATACCATTTCAAACCTCAAAAGCTGGGCTGAACCAAATTATGTCAAAGTTAACTTAGGATATGCAATGAACAAGTGCCATATAAGAAAAGAACCAGTTGGTAAGTTTTATATGTACAGTCTTCCCATCTTTAGCTTATTTTTAAAAGATCTTATGTAAAAACAACAAATGGTTCTATGGACAATGTTTCTAGCCAAATATCAACATTGGATATAATATTATTATGTATTGTGATTTGAATAATTTATAATTGTATAGGAATCGTCCTAATAATTGGCACATGGAATTATCCTGTTAATCTTCTGCTTATGCCTTTTATCGGTGCAATTGCTGCTGGATGTACTGTAATTCTCAAACCTTCCGAGCTTTCTGTACACACCTCTGCTCTCGTATCCGAACTATTTCCAAAATATCTTGATCAAGATGCTTATCGTATCGTAAGTGGTGGTGTTGCCGAAACTACTGCTTTGTTGAAGCATAGGTTCGATCACATATTTTATACCGGTTCTGGTAAAGTTGGTAAGATAATTATGTCTGCCGCAGCTGAACACTTGACTCCTGTCACCCTTGAACTTGGCGGAAAGAGTCCAGCGATTGTTGCGAATGACATGGACATTTCTATATTAGCTAAACGTATGATTTGGAGTAAAATGTATAATTGTGGTCAGGTAAATTTCATTTCTTCAACTTTTTTATAATGCGCTGCAACCCTAATTTCAATTTCAATTTTAAATAAGACTTGTATTGCACCCGATTATATGATCTGCGAAAGATCGGTTCAAGATGCTTTTATCAAAGAAGTACCTAAAGTTATAGAACAATTCTATGGCCTTGATCCTCAAAATAACACTTCTCATTATTGCCGTATAATCAATAAGAGCCATTTTGATCGATTGCAAAATTTATTGAATCAAACTAAGGGAAGAATTGTACATGGTGGCAATTCCGACAGAGATGATTTATATATCTCACCTACAATAGTAGCAGACGTTCCCAAGGAAGATAAATTAATGGAGGATGAAATTTTTGGCCCTATTTTCCCTATAGTCGTTGTTGAGAACCTTGATGAGGCGATTGAATATGTGAATTCAAAAGATATCCCTTTGGCTCTTTATCCCTTTAGTAAAAGTGATAAAACTGTTAAACATAGTAAGTTTATCTTATAAATATAATCATATCTATTTGCGTATTTTTTTATTTAACCATATTTAATTTACGTTAGTTCTTGATAACACTCGATCTGGTGGTGCTGTTATTAATGATTGTCTTATGCACTTCACTGGTATGTTCAAATGTGATGTGAATGAAAATTGTTTTATAACAATTTCATAACATTTAATCCATTTTCTATTGATTATCTCATCTATTAGTAAAAGATTTACCATTCGGTGGCCAAGGACCATCTGGGATAGGAAGTTACCATGGCAAACGATCCTTTGACACTTTTTCTCATGAGCGATCCGTTATGACTACACCACTTGCCATGGAGAAACTTGTTAAAGCTCGTTATCCACCATACAATGAATCTAATATGAAACTTTTATTCTGGTTATTTTTCAGTAAACCAAAGAAAACTAGAAATACAGCCTTTAAAGGCATTTTCGGTGCTGTTATTTTATTTTTGATCGCTTATGGCATGAAGAAGATAATACTTTAATGAAGTTTATGAAAAGTTTACGCTTAATGACTGTCAAAATATTGCCGACAATACACTATTTAATTTAGCTGGTGATAATCATTCTAGTGTGGGATCGAAACTCTAGTTTTTTAGGTTACTTTTTATGCATATAAACATTATTTTTAGGGACTTTTAGAAAGGATTAGTGATTCATAAAAAATAATTAAATTGTTTATTATGAGATTTGAGGTTAGGAGTGTGTTATTAGTCATATCTGATATTTATATTTTAATGTTCAAAGCTTTTTTTAGTTTGCTTTATTCATGTTTAAGCTTATTCAACTTTTTTATATTAAAAACTAATGTACTCCTAGTGTTATACACCGACCAGGGGCTAGTCGTCTTAGTCGATTTTTTGAAAAGTTGACTTAAGGGTGCACTCAAGCATCTCTCAGTGTAATTAGCTATCTATAGAGATCGTGCACAAGTACTACAAAATTAATTGAAGTAAACCTTACGGTAATTTTGTCGAAAATTCACGTTGCGAAACGCAGATATTAAATTTTAGTCAATCAGCATAACTCTATGATAAAAAAAGATTGTCTCTGACTAGGAATGGTAAAAAAACATTTTTCACCGTTTTAAAACATGTGATGCTGTGGTCAGAATATAT